TGTTTCTCAGTTTCCACTATTCAGGTGCATTTAAATCGAGGAGTAATTTCATGTCTTGACCATCCTGTACTTTTGTTTCACCCAAACGCGGAACTTTACGTATAAGCGTCCTAAGTAGGCTAGTGGGTATGTGTTACAAATTGCTAGCAAAATATTCGTTTCATTGCGGATTATACTTTCAGACTTCGAGAAACAAAAAATTTCCAAAAGTAGGAAACTGCCGCAACAAATGAAATACATTTTTCAATATAACAGTTTCCTTTTTTCACATTACAAGTAATAGTGCAAATTGATTTGAAAAAGCGTGAAGCCTAACACGTTAATAACAAAACAGTAATTTATGTGAACTCGTCAACAACAACCGAATGCTATTGTTTAGCATTAGCGTGTTGAGCACCTTTTCAGGGGTTCGTCACATATTGAAAAAACATGCAATTTTTTCAGACTAATACGTCCGGTCTCCCTGGACACCCCACTCGGATCCGCCACTGGTGCCGGTAGTGGACAAGCATATTGGTGACAATTAGCTAGGGATTTGTAACCGTAATTTCAAAAAGGATAATTATCGTACGTCTGGCAACGCTGAGTGGTACTTCCATGACACCCTAAGCTCATTAACCTATAACTAGGTGTACACAATAAGTCTCAAGAGCGGATAGCCACTATACAGCTACTGATTCAGTTCTAATCGGTTACTAAACTGTCAAAATTTGTTTGCATTATGCAGTGTCATTCACAAGTTATTTGCAGAAAATCAATTTCCAGTAGGGTCCTTTAGGGACCCCTTTCTCCGCGGCGGAGCTCCCTAGAACATTTTTTATACATGTGACATAAGTTTTTATGTTCTACATATATACGAGAGATGTTATTCTAGAACACCCTGTATATTTGGACACGCACTCAGAAGTGGATAGTTGGCCATGAAAGTTGTAGATTCATGTAATAAGACTTAAGAAAACGTCATGTTTGAATTTTGCATAGTTTAGTTATTATTTTCCAATAAAACGATATTTACCGTATCAGTTTCAGGTTTAAGGAAATAAATTATTGAATAATCTGATGATTATTTTTCAACTGCACACCTATGGTACCATATACTTTACCATGTTGAACTATAATTCAGTTTTTAAAAGTCACACACCATTTTTACTGTTCGCATTTTAACAATTATGGTATAATTGGAATTTAAACATACTTTGTTCGATAATTTGTATAGTTTTATCAATCTGCTTCTAGCGTAACAAAAATACGAGGGATGTCTTTCAAGTTTTGCATATAGAAACATAGTAGGCCGCGCGGATCGAACGTCAGTACTGAATCTTAACCTCACTCTTTAGGAAACTTAAATGCAAAGTTTCACGACAAGAGCAGTTGACGCATTCAAAAATTCCGTTTTGGATCTGCCAGCTAACGAGTGGAATAAGTGCTTCAAAAATTGGTTCGAGCGCATGCAGATGTGTATTAATCTTCGAAAAACAATAAAGTCATTTAAAACTACCTACCTTGTTGTTTTATTTCCATACGCAAAACTTAAAGGACATCCCTCGTAACAATCACAAAACACCACGAGGATAACTACAAGCCGCAAGAGATATAACCTTATTTTCATAACAATCATTCCTCAATTATGCATCTGAATATTGGTTAATGTTTACGCAATTGGTTTTTTCATGAAAGAAAGAGTAAGTGTTCACCTCTCGCATCCTTTCAAATAAGAAAATGACTTTATTTTAACTTCTGAACCGTATCATGTGGTTATCTACCTAATCATTTTCCTCTATTATGGTCAAACAAAGAGATTGATGATTACAGTTACTTTTCGGACATATCAGCGTGAAATAAAAAAAAATTGAAGTTGACAATTGGATTAAAAAGAAAGGAAAATCAATTGAATGAATTAAATTCCATTTTCCACCGCCAGCTGTCAATAAACTTGTGTATTATAAATAGTCAAACCATATAATTTGTTTGTGTTGGGTTTGTGGGGTCCGTTTTTCTGCAATTATCCGGACATTGTCCAGAACAAGCTACAAAAAAACCAATTAACTTACACTCTTTGAAAATATTTGTAGTCATTATATTATCTATTATTCTTAATCACACAGCAACCTTGAGGTTCACCCGTCATAGACAGTTTTTTTTTCTGATATTAATCGTTGAACCCAAATACCTAGCTATCAGTTACAATAGTTGCTTGTCTGATCACTACACGGGGTGTCCCAAAATATATGAAAAACACAGGGATATAGAATAAAAACACATTTACATGTTCATAACTAATTTTTTTCTCTACGTTTGAAGTGAAGAGTAAACCTGCTTGACGCCATTTTTTACATTTTTAAGACATCGTGAAAAGCACGATTTGTGAACAATTCATTGCCTGCACGACTTTTACAGTATGTTCCTCATTTGTAGAATATGTAAAGGATTAACAGTGATTGCTTGTATGTACATAGAATATAAAAATATACCCAGTGACATTAGAAGTATTACACCCAGAGAAAATAATTTCTTCAACTTGATACATCAAGAATAAAATGATAAAATTTTCGCGAAATTTCATTGACAGGTGAGAAGAAAAAAAATAATAATGTGTGCGACCCCGTAGCTGAATACACTCCAGAATACGATCATCGTGCGTATCTAGACAGAATCGCGATTCGTCGCTGAAGATGCCATTCTGCCTCCCAATGTTGTCATACTCTGCTCCAGTTCAAACGTTGACGACAGTGGTCCGCAGTCAGAGGTAGCACAAAACGTGGACGATGTGACAAAAGCCCAAAGGCTCGAATGCGGCGACAGAGTGTACGCATAATAACAAGTCTACCTTCTTCTCCAAACCATTGGTGAGTGTCGCGTAGTAGCAAAACGATCTCGTGGGGCTAGTTGTCTCAAGCGCCTATCTTGACACTCTGTGGTACGCCTCGGTGGACCAGTTGGCCTTCTTCGTGTTCCTCTACCTTCTTCTATCCACACGCGACACACACGCAGTACCGTCATTGTGGTACAATTAACACGGCGGCCATTTTCGCGATAGGACAAACCAACATCACGATAGCCAATTATTCTACCTCTTTCAAAGTCGCTAACATAGTGATAATTTGGACGTCTTCGAAGTCGAGTCATTTTGTCATGCTTAACACTAGCAAATGAAAGGGCAATAACTAAAAATATCAGTACTACTCAGCTCTCGGAAACTGCTTTCCTGCTGCCAGATCATGCTTTAAATATAGTCATTACGTTGACAAGTTGAAGAAATTATTTTTTCTGGGCGTAACACTTCTAATGTCACTGAGTATATTTTGGTAGTTATTATTATCTATATAATCCTTATCTGCCGAAATGCTCTGCAAACTGAAGTGATGAAGATGTTAGTGATCATTGAAAGGATCTCTAATAAGCACAAGGATCATGTCAAAGTAAGTAGATGTATCGGGTTTTCCAATAGGGACTTGACAACTTTGAATTTGTGAACGAACCTTTAAATCAATTACCGAACTGTCAATGTCAAAACATTCAGTAAATAAAACGTTTTCATCATGGTGAAGTACACGAACGAACAACGCTTACAAATAATTAAAATTTACTAACGCCAATTTTTGGTTGTAATTCTCGTCCCAGTAGACAAGCAATTCATAGTCTAGTAAAAAAAATTGAGTCCACATATTCGCTGCTGGATGTTCCCGTGCCAGTGCGACAATGGGTTGCTCGAAGTGCCGAGAATATTGCTGCACTATGGCGAATTTTGCCAAGAGATCTGGGCCTGCACCCTTATAAGCCGTTCGATCATATGAACCGACGTACGTTCTCGAATTGTGCTCTAAAAATGTTGCAAAAAAATGACCAATTTCATCGCAAAATCATCTTCAGTGATGAGGCGCATTTTTGGCTAAACGGCTTCGTCAACAAACAGAATATGCGTTATTGGTCAGGTAAAAAACCGTCATGTGCTTCAAGAAACAACAGGTCATCCACAAAAAATAACTGTATGGTGTGGTTTTCAAGCCGGTGGTGACATTGGCCGTCTTTTTGGTGGACATATAAACGAGGTTAAATTCCATATACAGGGTGACTTCGAAGTTGAGTCATTTATTTTAACAGTGAGTAGATCTGATCAAAAGAAATGTTTTTTTCCTTTACCATTTTTCTGGTAAAATTAAAGTAACAAAGTTATAGCCCTTTGGAAGTTTGAGTACCGCCCTGTCTCAATAATAATATCATGTGCTCGTGTTTGGCAACAACGGATATAATCCGCCTTATCGGTTCATCGCATCGGAAACAAAAAAGCGAAAGAATTTGGAACGATGTTTTTACAATTATTTTATTCAGTTGTATACATACAGTCAGTGTCAGTCGGTAACGCGTGTGAATAGTGGTATCTGTTGCGTGGCTCAAACGAAATAAAAAATGGCACATGTTTATGCGGATCGGTTTCCCAATCGAGTGCAACAAACCCTTTGTTAATGTAGTACAACGGGCTCGTGAATCAGGTGACTTAAGACCTCACAGGGGACCTCACGATCAAATACAGGTCCGCACTGAAATACTTGTCGGGAGGATACTTTATAAAACAAGGTAAAAAAAAATTTTTTTATTTTTACACACATATTTTGGTTTATCTTCCTTCTACAATCATTATCTGAAAATTAATGACTCAACTTCAAAGTATAAATGTTTTAAGTATACTCCAATCCAGTGATATGATTTTCGAGATACCTCAAACGGTTTGCGTTTCATTTAAAAAGAAAGTTGTCAAGTCCTTAATGGAAAACTCTTTAGATCGGACACATATCGATATGATCATATGATCCTTTATTATTGGATTACGTGAAATATAGCAAGGAACATTATTTGTGATAACGGCTTCATACAGAGCATTTTATTTCATGAATTACTTATTCGGCAAGGTTTGCAGAAATTTTCGGTATGAAATGGTAGCTGACTAACACGCTATCTGCATGACACTACGACAATTTAAAATAGGAAATTTTGAATTGCAGGCGGGACTTGGCGGTTAGGCCGACCGACCTGTGTTTTGGAATCAGATTTCGGATTTGTCATCAACTGTGCTTTTAAGAAATCTGGCCTGTTTCGAGTTAGAAATCTTGGTGGTGTGAAGGCTCACATAGGCCTTGGTAAATTCTATCTATCATTACTTTTGTACCTATTCAAAATTACATCACCGCCAATTGATGTTATCATGTTCAGAATTTTGACAATTATTCCGATTCGATTTTTTGTCACAATCACATTTGTTCGAGGCCCTTAACATAAATCAAAAAACTTTATGGCAGTAAACCAATTAAAATATGTTTTCTTTTTCTTCTTGAAACCTCATTTTGCAGCCAATTGTGTTTTCCTGAAAATCAAAGATTTTTTCAGACCGAAAAAAAAAACAATTTTTGTATTTTCTTAGTTCCTGTTAAAGGATATCTAACAAACGTGATTATGAAAAAAACGAATATTCTAAATAACATATGTTAAGTTTCCAATTTGATCCCAAATTGGACATCCAACTAATGAGAAACAAGAGGAACTATTGGAAATCAAATGGAGCATGTGTTGGTAGCTTTGAAAAGGTACAAAACTATTTTCTAATAATTTTCTTCCTTCTTGTAGTATAGTTGTAGATGTAGCATGTAGATATTAATACGAAATTTCTTGTTTTAACAGTATGCATATATTTGGTAATGATCATAGTATACTCGTAGCAATATTTCTCTAACCCAACGAGTAGGAAATATCATTAAGCAAAGTAAATTTGGGCTCCAAAGGTCCACGTGTAAACCAGAAATTATAAAGAACTGTTCCGTGGCTGGTATATACAGGGTGTAAAGTTAGTAGTGTATCGAATGAACCCCTATACAGGGTTTGTCCGGAAAGTAATCGGACTCATTTTCTCGCCCAAAAAAAGGGAAGAATGAGCAAATCCAAAGTGAAAAAGATGCTCATTGTCCTTTTTGATATCAAAGGCATCGTCCACCATGAATTTGTTCCTCCTGGACAAACCGTCAACGCCAAGTTTTACGTGGAAGTGCTTAGGAGACTCAAACGAAGGGTCAGTCGGGTCCCACAAGACATCGGAAGTTGCACCACGACGACGCCCCGGCTCACACCACACAAAAAATGAATTTAAGATTTTTTGCGCTGATTTCTAATAAGCTCTGTTAAAAAGTGACATAACTATTGCTAAAACTAAGCATTTAGCTCATCTCAGAAAATCACGGCCCTAAGCTTAATGGTTTAATTGTAATTGCGATTGAAAGTTCATTAGCCCGTTTTTTTTTTTTCGAAATTTCACAAAATTGCGAATATCTCCTGAACTATAAACGCGTAGAAGGGTTCATTTGATAGGTTTTTAAGGCTCTCGATTACCTGACTTCCGTTGATTCACTACTAACTTTACACGCTGTATATAGGTATAGAACCGAAAAGTAAAGTTCCTATAAACGTAATTCGTGAAATGTCCTTATGCCCAGTTATACTGTTGGAATTACAGTGAGGTAGCAAAACTTCCTCAGGTGGGATGTTAAAACAAAATTCTTATTAAAAAATGGGATAAATTTTGAAAATAGTCGGCGTTGAAAATATGTTCTGATGAAGTTCGAAATGTCCCAGCTGCTCATTTCCTATACTTTGCTTTGCTATGCTCACTAAAAATTAAAAATTTTCGGTTGATTCATCCACAAATACATACTTTTTTTGATTTTGTGGGTGCAAATTGAACAACAAGAACACATTTCAGAACTATACTTATATAAGGAATATTTATGTTAAGTTCGAATGATTCTAACTGCATGCCCATTCCAAACGCAAAACAATATTTTTAAAATATGTTCATTTTTTATATAAAAATCTATACAAGTATAATATCTCATAGTTCTTGAATTTTAGTTAATTTAACAATATCTACGATTTTAAGATGTTGCTTTTCTAATATATACTGTTTAATAATGATGTTTTCAATTGCTGTCTTGTCGGCTATTTCCTCATAAAACTTGATCTAACAATGCTGTTGATTCAAGAAGCAAAAGAATGAAACAAGCAAATGAACACATCAAGATGTTGGTATTGTTTATATTATTAATAATCATTCTTAGTTTTAATAGACTGAATTATTTGAAGAAACTTTAATATTTAACACAGTTTGAAGAAAAATGTCTTTAACAAATCATGATGTATAGAATGGTTTTTACTCCCGAAGGTCCAGTTTCTCTGTTTTTATTTGAAATGTGCCCCGTGGGGCAAAGAAACAGGGGAATAGGGGAGGGTATATCTCAAATCTTTCATGTTGATATATTATTACACTTCCAAACCCGGTAATTCTGCACGCCTATCAAACATATTTCACACCTCATAAATTTTCCCTTGAAATTTAAAAAAACACTTTCGGCCTATCGGTCGCACATGCCGTGCGCCAACGGTTATTTATAAATATTGCATCTTTGCAAAAGCAGGTACAATAGCTAGCGGCGCGGCGACATACGAGGTGGGCGCGATATTATCTGTATATATGATCGTTCTGCCTGTAGTGTGATTCAATGAAGTTTTTTGATTTCGTGACGTAATATTACATAATATAGTATAAGTGTGTATCAAGAGCTATTATAATCAGTTGTCTTGAGAAGCAGTTTTACACCCAAGGTCCGCAGACCAAATGTACAGACACGTTCATTGCTGCAATCTGAGGATTTTATTTCATGATAAGCCCAAATACTGCACTGCTTGTTCTGACACGTCTTTGTGATGTCAGTGCACTATTTGACGTTATTTTTTTATAAGTACGATATGCTCAATGAAAAGAACGAGTGCATAGATGCTTTTTTATTGTTGCATACTAGTATCTCGATCAGTGAAAGGACTACTTTTAACTTTGGTATGTAATTATAATTCTTAGCGTGCTGACGCTTTGGATCTAGACATATGTATTGACCAACCGAGTAATACGTAAGCGCAGCAAATACTATGATCTGCTTGAATACTCTATGCAAATTTCAAACCATGAAACGATGGGTCAAGTAGATTGACTCACTACATCCGTGAAGCAATATACTCGTACATCCGAGTATAAAATATCTTTTCAAATTATGGTTACGTACAAATTATGAACGTTTTTAAAGCTCAACCAAATAAGTGGTACCGCAAAAATTTTTGAAGGTACTATTGTGCTATCCAGAACTTAAAAAAATTCACTTTAGCTTGAAAACAAAATTATTAAATTTTTTCGTAACGTCAAAATCCTATAATTTCATGATTCTGCATATTTCGAAATGAAAGATATGACCCGCATATGGGCAGCTGTTGTATAATAACATACATGGAGTTTTAGATATTCCTTCAAAATGTCATCTTAGAACATGGTTTCAACCAGTGAAATCCTTATTCTACCGAAATAAGACAGCGCAAAGCGCCATCTATTACTCGCCGTTAAACAAAAAGTTGAGGAGTGTCATGGTTCGGTTAGAATTGTTCGCCACCTGACGATACGGTATATTCTGAATTATCACCAAGTAATTAAATGTTCCTGATTGTTATCAGCATTTATTGCAAACGGTTGCATGACAACTCATGTTGAACTATCTGAGAAAGGAATTTAGCATCAACAAGTTACAGGGTGCATTTGATAAGTATTGAGACTGGCCGACGTCTGTTGTGTTGGGGATACAAGCCAACAATACAATCTGGCCGCAGTAGTCACATTGCATCCCTGACATAATAAGGGTAGAATGCGATGTAAAAGAGAACTGATATGTGTATACGAGGGATGTCTTTTAAGTTTTGCATATTGAAACATGGTAGGCCGCGCGGATCGAACGTCAGTACTGAATCTTAACCTCTTTAGTAAACTTAAATTCAAAGTTTCACAACAATACGTGCAGTGTTCTCACTGCAGTGTCACCAAGTCATTAGAAAAATGGAACTCAACCGAGAACATTTTCGCGCCATAATTTATTACAACTTTCAGAGACAATTATCGCAACAAGAATGCCTTGCTGAGTTACTGTCTGTTTTCGGCAACGAAGCGCCACATCAGTCGACAATTTCCCGTTGGTATGGACGGGAGAGTCTTAGCGACGATCCCAGGGTGGATGCACAAAAAACGGCAGTCACCCAGTAAAACGTCGATGCTGTGCGCAAACTCATCATTGAAGATAGACATCTGACATATCGCGAGATTGAGGCGTCCTTGAAGATCTCAAAGACCTCAATTCAAAAAATTTTACATGAACAATTTGTAGTAAGAAAATTATTTTCTCGTTGTTGACTGAAAAGCAGAAGGCAGGCAGGGTTAATTGGTGTCAAAAAACGCTTGACCGGAAACTCAAAAAATGTGTACAGCATTGTTAGTGGTGATGAATCTTGGATTTACTGTTACGAACCAGAAAATAAACGACAGTCGGCTGTTTGGGAGTTGCAAGGTGAAGAAAAGCCAACAAAGGGCATCCGTTCTCGAAGTGTTTCGAAAAAGATGGTCGCGACATTTGTGTCAAAAGCGGGTCATATTGCAACAATTCCTCTTAATGAGCAAAAAACTGTTACTGCGGATTGGTATACCACCATTTGTTTGCCAAAAGTCATCACCGAGCTTCGAAAAACCAACGCCGAAAGAAGAATCATCCTCCACTAAGACAATGCAAGCTCGCACACAGCCCAAAAAACAAGGCAGTATTTAACGGAAGAAAACGTGGAATTATTGGACCATCCTCCATATAGTCCCGATCTAAGTCCTAACGATATCTTTACTTTCCCGAAAATTAAAAACAGACTCCGTGATCAAAGGTTCCAGTCACCAGAAGAAACAGTTGACGCATTCAAAAATGCCGTTTTGGATCTGCCAGCAAACGAGTAGAATCATTCGAAAAACAATAAAGTCATTTAAAACTACCTACCGTGTTGTTTTATTTCCATATGCAAAACTTAAAAGACATCCCTCGTATCAGTGCACAGTGGAACACTCAAGGAACTAAAGCCGTGCACATATTTTCTAAACCCGAATCAACCGGAATAAATCTGTGAGCTCGTTTTTTCATTACTTATGAAACGCACCCTGTACATGGGATCTCAGACCATTGTCGCTTCCTCAAGGAAACGATTACAAATTTTTGAAACGTTAAATAAATGCATGACTACATGCCATCTCAATAAGTGTTGAACAATATGTTTCGCAACACATTTCGTTTTCGCTAAGAACCGTCAAAAAATTTTACAATACCAACTCGTTAAACGTTTGTATTTAACAAATATACTAGTGAAACTTCTGTGTAGATTTAATGATGTCTTAACATTGTGTACGTACATTGACATTGTTTCATTTTGGAATTGCATAAGTTATCTGTGAATAAAAATCTTACAGTAATTTTATATAATTGATTGATGAGTACATTTGTAGCATGAAAAATTGATACAATGAACAAAATCCATTCAGAATGTCAACGAGTCCATAAGGTGGTGTTTCGGCTCTGGAAATAACTCAAATTGATCCCATCTATTTTAGTTTTAAAATTTTCATATTTATTTAGTGCTTAATTTTTCATTGAATATCCCACGTTTGCAATTTTGTCGGAAATTCAAATATTTTTATATGACCACATGGCCGTAACACCTCCTGCTTCAAACCTATAATAAAACGCACTAAGACGCAAAGCATACATCCTAAAAATAAAAGTGCTGCGCCATTGGATGCAGTTAATGTGTGACTGAACATTACAAATGTACTCATGATTTATGTAAATAGGTGAAAAGATAAGCATTTCAAAATTGGCAATTACTATAATTGGAATGCTATTATTGCAATGATTTTCCAGGGTTTAGTCTTGGGGATGAGCTCGGATTCAAAGAGTCGCTAACCAACACGGAACAGGACAGGAGGCGATCTGCATCCATATCGAAAGCTCAAGCGCAGCTGATCCAAGCTCAGCACAAGGCCAAAGACTCTGTAAGTTCATCATGTTTTTTGTAGGTGATTATTATTGTGATGTCATTTATCGGAGCCCTCGGTTGGCAGCGGAAATGCGGGCTTAGAATGCCGGGGGCTAACCTTGATATGTTGTATAGGACACCACACACTGATATAAAGGCAGTCGTGCCTAGGGAATGCCATACATCCGTCTGGTAACAACATATCATGCGCTTTTTTGATGTTTCTTCAGCCGTACGGGGGTCCAAGGGGGCTGGGTAGCGGAGTGATTACCTCGTCGAGCTACTAATTGGTCGATCCGAGGCTCGCGAGCTCGAATCTCCGCCTTTGAAGTTAATTTCAGGGATGTTGTGTTACCAGTTACCAGCAGGTGGCTTGTGGTGAATACATTGTTGGTACTAGGAAACCGGCAAAAACTGTCACAGGTGCGTTTCATTAAACCAATTAAAAATATTAATTACGCCAACTAAATAAATTTATTCAACTAGTCACAGCTAGTTTAATTAGTTCAATTGAACCCCGATTTCCAAAACAGTTTACTTGAATCCATGCAACTAGTTTAATTGAACCATAACGCAATCGTTTAATTAAAGTTATCAAACCGTTTACTTAGTTTGATCAAACATATTTATTTATAATAAATGAACCATTAAAATGAGTTTACATGCTTCAAGCAAAACAATTCAATTTTATTTATTAAATAAGCAGTTTAACTGATTTTATTAAAATGTTTAATTGATTAAAGCGTACCTTTTCTACCTAAACTAAATTACCTAAACTAATTAAAAATAATTAGTAAATTTAATAAAACAGGTACATGGTTTACTATTTTCAAGCAAATTAATTTAATGTTTTGATTAAGCTGGTTCCTGAAAATTCAGTTTAATTACATCGAATAATTTAGATACTTAGCGTAATTAAGTAATTTATAACGGGTGACGAAAATTTGCCAGAACAGCTATTAAGTTTATACGCCCAATCGTTGTTTTACATTTTGTAAATGTAGTCTACTAAGTCAAATACGTATTTGAAAAACAGCAGCTTGGGATATCACGACAGAAAGCACCCCATACACGTCTGATGCTCAAGCTGAATGATCATTGAATTTGCGCAAAAAGAGCAAGAAAAAACGTATTCAGACGATTATCGCGTCTGCAATCAGATTACATGTGGATTTGTACTGAAAGGATCGAAGACTGTTTTAGCTTAGTCATGAATGTTGGCTATCTGTGCACTGAGCGAAATATACTTTCAAGGTCTTTCTGATTGTCCGCTACATTTCAACACGAGCAGGGTTTAAGGTATTAAAAGAAACAGGATTTTCATACCACGCTAATCTAAAGGAGACGATCGTAAATATTGACGGAGTTTGTAGGATGTTGGTTTTTCGTTATAACTATGTATTCAACTGTTTCAATCTTCGCTTTTATTGTGAGTTCAAATATTTAAAAACGGGTGAATTTTGGACAAAAATGCCAAGATTGCGAACCATGGACTTTAGAAGAGCAAATACTGAAATAAAAAATGGCGTCAAGTAGGTTGACCCCGTCCTTGGCATAGTAAAAAGTAAAGTAAAAAACATAGTGTGAAAAATTTAGCGAAATATGACCAGTACTTTCCAAGTTAAGCAGTCCAAAGTTTAACGGATAGAAAGACAGACCGACAAACCGGCAGATCGACGAAAATGAGTGGCAGTTTTTCATAATTTACCTGTCATATAACATACAAAAGACATATCTCATTTTCAAAATTTTTCGCGATTACAATACGTCCTCACCCAGTGGCGTACGAAGTAAAATAAAATGTTGATGAAAGTTCAAAATATATATGAGATATTTCAATTTGAAAAATTCATAAAGGTGTGGTGTGGTGGTTGCCATGAGATGATCCATGTCTAGTTCGAATATTCAAAATCGAGGCATTACTGGAAACACATAACTTTAGATTATTGGTCAAATTAAATCGTTGATTTCGTCATTCGAGTTCAAAAATATACAGGGCGTCCAGTGGAAAAATTCTGCGAGTTTTATTTCTTAATGGGGTTGGCATGGGTTGACTACGAGTAGAGCCTGTTTCACGGAACCTCTTAATCCACTTTTTGAATAGGTTCTTACTTGGGGCATCCCTTGGTCGGCGAATGTTGTATCATGTACAAAATTTCCGAAGGGCAGCTACGTATAAATCACCACTCTTAAAGTAAGCCTCGATAGCAAAAACACGTTGCGCTCCGGTCCAACGTTTCATTGTGACTATTTAACCCGCAAGACCTCTTCCCACTTCGTCGCGCATACGGTTGCGCGTAATTCAAATTTGGAATGCGAACTGTCCCGCTAGGTATTTAATAACGTAACGGTCACGGTTCACAGGATGATCAAAAATCTATACATAGGATCAAACTGGAGTTATTTCCAGTTCAAAAATCACCTTAACAGAGCCTGATGCTTTATACTACATGCTATTGGTTCTCCTATCGCCATGCGTCTCTTTCTTTTTTCTTTCAAAGAAATATTAAATATCAATGGCGCAAGTAAGACAAGGTGGTTAGTAAGATGTTTAGTTGCTTAATTTGATGATGTTCATAATCAATCAAACTACAAATAAACCAGAGAAAGCTGAAGAATCTAAATCACAGAACGTCGCTTACGTAAAAATCATTTACTCAAATGCTGAATGTCAATCGAATATCAACTTATTAAGCTCTCAACGCTTTTGTTTATATAACAGCCTGTCTCGGGTAAATGATTCATATGCATGCCTAATTCACTCTGAACACCATATCATATTCACAATACAAATTGATTTGCTGTCCAGTGAAAATACAAAAGAATATTATCTACCAATTAATTAACTGGATATTGGATAATTCAATTTTTCTTTGTTGCCTAAGAGAGTATATCCATTATGAATGCGCCAAAAAGCAATCCTAAACCCATGGTACAATGTTGAGCCAAATATATCCTAGTAAAATGCTGTTTATTTAATGAGTACGCAACGCGGGAAAACCTCGCGTACACGGAAGATATTTTTCAACTCGATCTTTATAATGATCATGTATGTTGACATATTTTATACGAAGTTGAGTCATTTATTTTAACAGTGAGGAGATCTGATCAAAAGAAATGTTTTTTTCCTTTAACATTTTTGTGGTAAAATTAAAGTAACAAAGTTATAGCCCTTTAGAAGTTTGAGTACCGCCCTGTCTCAATAATAATATTATGTGCTCGTGTTTGGCAACAACAGATATAATCCGCCTTATCGGTTCATCTCATCGGAAACAAAAAAGCGAAAGAATTTGAAACGCTTATCACGATGTTTTTACTACAATTTTATTCAGTTGTATTCAGTCAATGTGTCAGTCGGTAACGCGTGAGTGAATAGTGGTGTTTGTTGTGTAGCTCAAACGAAATAAAAAATGGCACATGTTTACGAAAATGCTGAATGTAGTACAAAGGGCTCGTAAATCAGGTTACTTGAGACCTCACAGGGGAGGGCATGCCGGTGCTCCAAGACCGCACGATCAAATACAGGTCCGCACTGAAATACTTGTCGGGAGGATACTTTATAAAACAAGGTAACATTTTTTTTAATTTCTTTTTTAATTTTTACACACATATTTTGCTTTATCTTCCTTCTACAATCATTATCTGAAAATTAATGACTCAACTTCAAAGTATACCATAGATTTTCCCGCGGAAAGCAGTCCAGAGACGGCGAAGAAAAATGCCAAAAAGAAAAAAGTTTGGAGGTTAGAAATTGGGGGTTGGCGACTGTAGAGAGGCGGGAGGGTGTATCGCAATTCATATCCAAGAATTTCCTTATACCATAAAATGGGTTTTGTTCAAAATACTTATTTGTTTATTTTATTTTTATTCATTTATTTTGCATACGTTAGACTCATCGATTTCTACGAATTTCATACAGTGCGATTGCTCGATATTTCCCATTTATTCGAAATAAATAGGATTCATCTGCGACGTTAGACCTTGCAGAAATGAGGCTTCAATCTGAGGAAACGTTTTTTCATGAAAAGCAAAAATAGTGCCGGGTGCGCCATCTTTTATGTCGGTATTGAAACATCGAATGACTTTGATATTTACCAACCGAGCGATTTGGTTATACGTGTTTCTGAAACGTCAATACAATTTTAGTCATGAATCGCTTTACACCAAAACAGCGCGCGGAAATAGTCGCAATGTACATTGAAAATCGTCGTTCAGTTGTGTTAACGCAACGTGAATATCATCGAAAATATCGTGGCAAACAGCACTATGCGTCGTTTGGTTTCGAATTGGTTGAAGCGGTCAGAGACAGCGTTGCCCAGAACCCAAAAGTGTCGTATCGTCACCGCGCTCAGCATTTTGGCATCAGTGGAACCACGTTGCGGCGCATTTTGAAGGATGATTTGCATTTGTTTCCTTACAAGGTGCAGTTAACACAAAAAATATTGCCAACTGACCGTCCACGTCGCTTGGAATACGCCCAAACAGTCGCTCGCATGGTCGAACCTGATTTTTGGAAGCAAATTGTGATGACCGACGAGGCCCATTTCACGCTCTCTGGCGGCGTTGATAAGCAAAACTGCCGCATTTGGAGGACGGAAAATCCACATGAGATCTACTAAATGCCGTTGCATGACTGGAAAGTGACTGTTTGGGTCGGGGTTTGCGCCAAAACCATCATTGGGCCATTTTGCTTCAAAGAAAACGAAACAGTCGAAATCGATATCGGTGGATGTTGGCTCATTATGCCTGCCCACAAATGCGTGATCTTGATGATTACTGGTTTCAACTCACTGCACGAAAATTCCCTGGACGTCTGATGTCAAAAAGTGATGACATTGACTGGCCACCCAGGTCTCCAGATTTGACCCCACCGGACTTGTTCTTGTGGGGTTATTTGAAAAGTCAAGTATACGCCAGCAAGCCTCAGACCACTCAAGAACTAAAGGCAAACACTCGTACCGCAATCGCCGCTATACCACCAGAGGTGCTCGAAAAAGTAATGGAAAACGCAGCAAAACGGGCACATTTTGGTTTGGCCACTTGATAGATGTTGTGTTCTAAAACTAGTCCCAATAAATTGTAAAGGAGCATATTTAATAGAAATACCCGATATCTAGAAATCAGTTTTTCGTTTTCAAAGTTATTTCATGTTTACATACCGACATAAAAGATGGCGCACCCTATATATAATATACTAACGATTCTGGCAAAACCTATGCCTTTCTGATGCCATTGAAAAATTGGACTTGAAGGCGTGAAAAGGGTCAGTCTAATTGACGTCATTTTTTTAAGTTGGAGTTGGGGTTGAGTATGTTACAGTGACCTTGAACTGTACCTTTAGATTGCCACATTTCAGATGTTATTTTTATCAAACTTTATACGCAACGCTTGTCTCTTCTAAAGTGTTTTCACTGATGATAGAGGGCTGGTTGCAAAACAGATATCATCGCATAAAGCAAGATCGAAGGCTTTCTTACAAAACACACACTCAAGTATTGTATTGGGTGGCATTTAATGATGTGCAGTTTTTATGGTGTTTGGAAAATTTGTGCCATGTCTTCGTTTTTATAATTTACATTAGGTAACGAGAATTAATAATGACTCCTTGTCCAATGATTATCGTTTATGCAAAATACTGTTTGCTTGTCTGCTTTAGGTTTGAATTGTCACATTATGAAATGGAAATTTATGTACATGGCCCATTTCATGAGGTGTCAAGTCACAACAGCAGCTCCGTAATAGGAGACAGAACGATTTATTATAGTGTGAAGTGTGACAGTTATTGAAAAGAAAATTATATTGATATAGTTTGAATGAAAATATGTCTTCGTGGATGCAAATAAAAGAAACTATTATTTAGACCCCTCCAATGAAGACTATAGTAACTCAATCTTTGCGATCCTTGCTTTTGAATTGCTCAGTACCGATAGATACTTTTAAGGTCTTTTTGGTGGAAGAATATAGTATCTTTAGTCATTAAAGTATAGGCAACATGCTAATATCCTGGTACAACCAAAACTGAGTTACTATAGACTTCTTTGAAAGGGTCGGTTTGATAACAGATGCTTATCGAAAGTCCACATTATTTCGAACGTCTATTAGATGCCTCCTATCAAGATAAATGAAGAAGTTGCCCCACAGATATTGTCCCACAAACTATACTTGAACTTCATCCGGTATCACTGATCCATATACATTAACGCTAAATGCATCTGTTTTCTTCTGAACATTATGGAATCTTACAAGTCGACCACTGCAACGAAGACTATAGTAACTCAAACATCCTTGCTTTTGACTTACTATATGATAGTGAAGAACACCAAGATGAATATAATTTGAGTGACTCAGATTGGCAGATTGGTTTTTTCGACCATTTGTCTGAAAAATATATAATAAGTTTAGAGCAAGTTACTTTTTTCTTTAATTGATCCAATGAAACCTATACAGGGTGACTTCGAAGTTGAGTCATTCATTTTAACAGTGAGTAGATCTGATCAAAAGAAATGTTTTTTTCCTTTAACATTTTTGTGGTAAAATTAAAGTAACAAAGTTATAGCCCTTTGGAAGTTTGAGTACCGCCCTGTCTCAATAATAATATTATGTGCTCGTGTCTTGGCAACAACGGATATAATCCGCCTTATCGGTTCATCGCATCGGAAACAAAAAAGCGAAAGAATTTGAAACGCTTATCACGATGTTTTTACTACAATTTTATTCAGTTGTATTCAGTCAATGTGTCAGTCGGTAACGCGTGAGTGAATAGTGGTGTTTGTTGCGTGGCTCAAACGAAATAACAAATGGCACATGTTTACGAAAATGCTGAACTAGTGGACATGATTCTTATTTACGGTCCGGGGGAGTCTTTACAAAATGCTGCCGCGGCATCACGGATTTATGCGGATCGGTTTCCCAATCGAGTGCAACCAACCCCTCGTGCCTTTGTTAATGTAGTACAAAGGGCTCGTGAATCAGGTAACTTAAGACCTCACAGGGGAGGGCATGCCGGTGCTCCAAGACCGCACGATCAAATACAGGTCCGCACTGAAATACTTGTCGGGCGGATACTTTATAAACAAGGTAACAATCTTCTAATGCATGTATCTCAGTTCAACCAAAACTGAGTTACAATAGTCTTCCTTGCAGGGGTCGAAGTGATGTTTTTTCTGGATTCAAAAGAGATTATTGTCTAAATGAAAATTCGAATCTTCCTCAAAACTACCACGAATCGTATTTTAGGCTCCGTTTATTTAATATTTCGCTTATGACTCGAAAACGTCAACTGTAGACAAAAGTTGCTCAATACTGTTTTCTTCAAAATTTCTCAACGAATGAGAGATGTTTGCCTTGTCTATAAGGCGTGCTTACAATTTGATCAATATACGTTTGCACTAAAAATTCTAAATTAATTACTAGTGTGCTTCTGGGTCGAAAACACTTACCTCATACACCAAGTATTGCAAACACTAGTTACATTTGGCTTTTTACATCAGATATTGCCTAAAGCTGCTAACCATCATTTCATAAATATGTGTTATGAAAAATGAATTTATCACATATCTATAATGATGAGAAAATACCTTAAATTAGCTACCCATTTTTTACCTTTCACCTATGTCAGTAAAAGATACATTCTCCTTATATAATGAGATGATTGTTTTAATTCTATTGCTTTCTATGGGAATCTTTCAATTTATATCCAATAAAAATAACCTACTAATATGTTTCCGAATAGTGAAATTAAAATTTGGCAATTCTTAACACACTTTCCTGTTCCGCTTTTTTTGTTATCCGAAATCGTCAAAAATGATTAATGCCAGTCCACTAGAATGCTTGTTATTCAATCGTAATTCAATCTTATCGGAACTTCAGCTGGATGTATCGTTATACCACAGAATAAATAAACCAGAAGCAACACTCAAGCAATTTACCCGGTGCAATTTTTAGACGCAGCGATCGGCTACGAAAGGTCACGCGCACCCATGAGCGTAGCCAGCAAGGGGGAGGGGGGTATAAAAGAAGTGTCACAGATTGTAAGCCGAAAAGCAGAAAAGTCCTTAGGTCCTTCTATTTGGAAAAAGTGACACTACCGCAACCGACGATCTAGACGTACAGGATCGCTTCGTGCTTCCTCTTCAATCAACTCTCTCTAACCACGGAAATGCCTGGAGTATTGACAAAACACTATCTCGAACGTCACAGCTTGATTAGCAACAGGCAGTATGGTTTCCGGCACCAACGATCCACAGGGGACCTCCTAGCTTACGTCACGCAATTGTGGAGTAAACTCATCCAGTCTTATGGTGAGGCTCATGTCGTTGCCCTTGACATCACGAAAGCGTTCGATCAGCTGTGGCCCGCTGCCCTCTTAAGCAAACTTCCATCCTATGGCCTCCCAGAAAAGCTTTGCTGATGGGTGGCTGACTTTATCTCTGGCCGCAAGATATCCGTCGTAATTGACGGGTTCTCCTTTTCATCCCACAACGTCAACCTGACTTTGGCGTCCCATCCTAACCGTGTCGAATTTCGTACATCCAGAACTGGCCGATACGACCGCTCCTTTGTCCCGAGGGTGTCGAGATTGTGGAACAATCTACAAGAGGAAGCTTTTCCCAGTTCTACTAACCTTAGGCAACTCAAAAATCGTATTAACAAAATTTCTTTGGGATCATCATAACAGCCGTGGTGTTCCGGCATTTAGGCTACTGCCTGCGCGGCTGCTTCGTCACTCATTTGTAGAACACAATAGAAGAACAAAAAAAAATCGAAATGACTCGAGCGAGTTCAAGCTTGTACTGAAGGCGGATCACATGTTCCTCTTCTCCCCTCCGAGTCCGGCGCGTCCAGTGTTGCCAGATCAAAGACTACGTTGCCAGCCTCATCATTTAATTTACAGATCTCGTACATTACAGTGCATACAGCACTCTTTTAACTTCTATAAATCAACAAATTAATTATCCTTGAATTGTTTGTCATTTCTTTCATTTCTACTACCTACACTTCATTCTGTTGCAGATAAAAGCAAAATCGCGGAAGACTGACCACGCTCCGCTAGACGATGCCACAATGCAAGCAGTTCAAGCAGCCATCAAGCGATCAACATCAACAATACCCCCTTTCAAACCTCTACCCTCTGATGACACGTCCGACCCTGCTAAACCTCCTGTAGTTACGGGTATTATACCTCCTACCTTTTCTGCTATGCCGTCCTCTATATCTCGTATTTTCTTAGGTAACAACCCCGATAGTAAGGTGATGGTCGTAGTACCCAACAAAAGCAAAGCAAGCACGAATTTGTCCGATAGACTCTTACCCGGTGATCCCAACCCTAGTAACACCCTACAAGCTATCCTGGCTGCCCAGAATGTTTCGGAAGAAGCGTTGGAGATGGCTTTGATCCAGAGACAGCAGATGATGGCTAGAAGAACAAGTACCACCACCACAACAACGATTAGGCCTACACTTAGGCAGTCAAGCAGTGTAGGGAAGGTCATGAACGCGCCTAAGGAGTACTACCCGGTGGGATATGACAAGAATTTCGATGATAACTTCGCTTCCAGGGTTGAACTGCCTGAAACTTCATTCTACTGTGGGGATCAGAAGCACTTTCCTGGTCTATATGCCGATGAAGACTTGGGCTGCATGGTGAGTCTCATCCTTTATGCTGATAAAGCCTTTTTTCACTGCCTGCCGGAGAAGTCACCATCATTGCTCGGAGTGCCTCATTGAGTAGTAAATAAATAATGGTAACAAAGCACCTGATAACTGCAATATGTCAGTTTGGCAACTAAACTTGACACATCGTTTGAGAAGGCTCAACAAATGATGTCTTACTTCTCAACCTAGGTATGTAATGTACTATTTGCATTAATGCGTTAAAAGAGAACCTTGGCACATTGACGCTTCACCTACAAATATCGTCTAACGGATTTTTATTAATTTAGTTTATCTTTCTAATTAGAAGACTACTACAGTGCCTATTGCAAAAATATCCACTTTGTTCTAATTAACAAGTCGTAACCTTGTCTTGAAAAGCTACAAGATGTTTATCGCAAAATTGAATGATGTCCCGTGAAATTAAAGACTTGAAGGTGAACATAAAAAGAAAAACGATGTATTTGCATGTCTTCGGACATTTTTATCATACAGTACACGATACTAGAAGACATGCAAGTTACTCAACTATTCATATTTCCTGACCACTGTAAATTATTCTGTAAATTGGTGCGATTTCGCAAGTGTTTATTTCATGCGTATGTAGATTTAATATTTCGATAGTATCTCTACGAAAAACTGAACTATATATTTTCTACTGCATGCGAATCTAGATCGCCGATATTTAGATTGTTTTAACAATTAACAGTCAATCACACCATTATCTTCTACGAGTACCTGACAGCAACTCGGATGTGTCTGTCGGTTTGTCTGTCCGCTAATCCTTGGCCCGTGTATAACTTGTGAATTACCGCTCGGATTTTGATGAAATTTTCACAGGAATTATGCCAAAGACGAAAAAGCTATATACTTTTTGAAATACGGCTTAGTGGAGGCGATTTTTTTGACGGCTCCTGATCATTTTCAGAAGAAGTTTCTAAGAGTTAAAACATCAGGCGTTGAGGGTTGTAGGGATGGCGAAAGGTATATCTCATAAGTTTGACGGCAGTATATTTCACACATCATAGAGTTCCCAGTAATGCAGAGAAATATTAATAGGCGCGATATGCCGTCAGTCTGGACGATGGCAACTTTCATGCACCAGATTCTGTCTGCATCTGACTGCATCGCCGGAGCCCGTGATCTCGAGTTATAGTATCGTGACTGGCGGTTATGGCATTGTGTGATTCTGCACCGTAGCCAGATGGTTTATACTTAGAACAGCGAGGAAAATAGCGTTTGCATTATCAAATGGTTGGAGATTATGGAGTATGGACTAATTGTATGGGCATGTTTGGCTGACTTGATCCATTTACTTTTTTTGTTATACATGTTTGTATCTTGCTCAGAGGGACTAACTTTTTGAGACTGTAATCTTTTATGATGGCAGCGTTGCGTGTGAAGTGCAGAGTCAACCTAATTGATTTTTATGAATTCGACACTAATACCAGCTCTTTCACATGCATGTGACAAACCGCGCAATTCAGGAAGTAGCTGCATTCCTTTGCCAGTGAAACTATACGCCAAAAATAATCTATAGAGAAACCGTGCTTCGACCTTATTTAGCCATAAAAAATATTTTCTCGAAGCCGTAAACATACCGTAGCATAAGTATGTTACGTGGATCTGTTGGATAATACTAATATGGTTACTTCCAATGCGGATTGTCACCTCTTGGCCTCTACATACTCTGCTGGATTTTGACCTTGATTACCTTACCAGAAACTATTACGTCTAGATAATTAGAACAGTACGGGCAACTTATGCTGAAATATTTAATTTCAAATCGGAGGGAATAGCAATTTGTCGTTTCCTTTCAGTCGTTTTTCTGTTCCATCAGGTGTTTGCCGACAAAATGAAATTATAGTTTTCAACTTCACAAGATCCTAATTGAGGGACTTGGCTTCAAGATCGATCAGTTCCTCTTAGACATTATACATTGAAATATACTTATACAGGGTGATTCACAAGTCATGACCAAAAACGAAAAATTGTATACAGGACTGCATTTCAAGGAGGGTGTTCTATGGAACATTTTTTCCTCGGAAGTTTCATCCATCAACTAATATCTATACTAAGTGACATATAAATCCGAACACCCAGTTTAAATGGTTTTATTTTAATAAAATTTTGAAGTACTTAATGAAGCATAATAAGTAAATGATAAAAATTTCAAAATGATTGCACTGCTTTAAAGCCCTTTGACCTTTAATAATGTGTGGATGCACCCTGATGTGCTACGCATTCTCCAACGCGCCTAGGCATGCTTCTGATCAGGTGGTCAATGTCCTCCTGTGGTATCTCATTCCAGGCAACCACCAACTCCTCTCGAAGTGCTTCTAGAGTCTGAGGAGGACGTTGCAAATTGAGCAATCTCCTACCCATCCTATCCCACACGTGCTCAATTGGGGATGTCGGGAGATCTTGGTGGCCATCGTGCATGCCTAAACAAAATCGAGAGTCGTCACTAAAGACAATACTGTTCCATTCCTGATCCCAGAGTGACCGTTGTCTGCACCACTCAAGGCGATTACGTCGGTGTAAGGGTTAGAAGGCGACGTGGTGAAAGGAGGAATCCACAGTTTTTTGTTGAAAGACATGCTCATCACACTGTTGGAGTTATGGTTTGGGGTGCTATAGCTTATGGTTCCAGGTTACCTTTAATCTTCATCAGAGGTAACATGAACGCGCAGCGTTATATCCACGAAGTTCTAGAACCCCATCTTTTACCCTATCTTGACACCCTGGCAGATCCAACTTTCCAACAAGATAATGCCCGACCACATGTTGCAAGAGTCACAATAGACTTCTTTCAACATAATCATGTCACATTGTTACCATGGCCACCAAGATCTCCCGACTTATCCTCAATTGAGCACGTGTGGGATATGATGGGTAGGAGATTGCTCAATTTTCAACGTCCTCCTCAGACTCTAGAAGCACTTCGAGAGGAGTTGGTGGTTGCCTGGAATGAGATACCACAGGAGGACATTGACCACCTGATCAGAAGCATGCCTAGGCGCGTTGGAGAATGCGTAGCACATCAGGGTGCATCCACACATTATTAAAGGTCAAAGGGCTTTAAAGCAGTGCAATCATTTTGAAATTTTTATCATTTACTTATTATGGCTTCATTAAGTACTTATACAACATTTTATTAAAATAAAACCATTTAAACTAGGTGTTCGGATTTATATGTCACTTAGTATATAAAATCAAATAGGTTCACGTTTTATGGTAACCTTTTATTGAAAGTTAGAGGTTATGCATGAAATGATATACAGCGCTTATCAGAAAGGTCCACCCCACTTGTTTTTTGAACTGGTCAAGTTGGCAAGCTGAAACAGTGTTGGAGCCAAGGCCGATCCCTGGGGAACACACGCGTTAGTTTAACAGCAAGAGCGTTAGATGCTTGTCTAGGGCTATAATTAACTTCTTGGCCTGCCTGGCAAAGGTTTGGAGCCAAAAAAGCCCTTAGCCCCTAATGCTGGTCTATTTTCTCGTAACCTGGTACACTAATGTTCCCACTCGCCCACTTTTACAAGGCTCTGCTGCCCTCCTGGTCAATACTGATTTTGTCTACAGTGAAGTTTAATGGCCAGATGAAGGTCAATTCTCACACTTAAGAAATTAAGAAATATAACAATAACTTGATCTTTTGTGAAGAATGGTGGCATTTGTATCTGCGAATCATGAATCACTAAAGTGATTGATACTTTCCAGAAATGGTAATGATACGTAACATGACCTTTCACTTCTTACGTACTGATTCACGTATTTGAGAAAATTTATCAAACATATACTTCAAAAAACCTTTTCAGGAAAGACACAAACGCAGCGATATCCTTATAAAATAAAGCAAATTGAAACAACGCAACTTAACAAATGTAATCAAGGAAGATTTCTAAGAATCTCTACTTTAGACGGTGAATATGCTGGCCTTGGTCTTGAAATAACACAACAAGTGATTGCTTTACTTTAAAATGAGCGCACAATGCCGATAGATTGTTCATGCTTCTTCTGATCCAGATACAGCGTCCAAGGGCGCCCACAAGAATTTTCCCAAGGGGGCTGCTAGACTTCGGCAAGAGGAAGCACTTTGAAGCACATTTTTGTTTTTAAAGAAAGGGGTCTCCGAACTTTTTTTTTTAAATTCTCGTGCAGCATTTTTGACGAAGTCATTTCACCTCAAAACGCGACACGTAATTTTTTGCCAGTGTTGAGTCTATCTACAATCAAACGATGTTTTGCATTCTTCTGGTCATGATTATCTCGTTCATACGTTTTATAATTAATCAATATTGCGAAAGTAATCAGACAGATATTTCAGGCACGTATACGTGTACATTGTTATATCATTTTCATCCAATCAAAACTTTTTACTCAATTTTTAGCGCGAGTAAGGCCCCGTAGTCGCTCGACCCTAAAGGCCGCCCTGGTATCAGCCTTTCAAATTCTTGGAGAGTGGGGTAGCACATGAACAGGGGCAAATACAGGTCTAGCAAGGTTTTTTCGCACCAAGATGCAGCAATATGTACCGCATTATTGACAAATGCAAATATTTATTTGTATTTATTCGATTTCTATACAATGATGCTACAAAAGAATCAATGTCATAGATGTCTATAAAAGGTAGGATCCAAATTAATTTGTGTTTGGTTATTTGTCCTCGTTTATTTTATGTAAAAAGGTTTTCAGGACATCCATAGTACGTAATATAGCATCACCTACCTAATACGACTATACCCTATTCGTAGTGCCATTTACGCCCACCAAAGATGTAGCGCGGCAAAGCTGAACTACGAACAAGTACAGGATTCGACAGGATAGAACTCAGGCTCGGGGTATCGCCGGCAGTTGCTGTTCATATTCGGCGCATATACATCGGAGACAAAAAAGCGAAAGAATTTGAAACGCTTATCACGATGTTTTTACTACAATTTTATTCAGTTGTATTCAGTCAATGTGTCAGTCGGTAACGCGTGAGTGAA